GACTTTTTGCGAAAGTGATGTACTTGAACCAGGCATAAAAATACTCGCTTTAAAACATTTCACACTGGCCAGTTTGGAGTCCCCCCTTTCAAAATAAGAAAACAAAACAAAAACCAATCCACGTGTCGAACTACCACCTCCAGCACCTCTCCCTGTTAAACGACTTATCGTGCCTTCAAGCCTCCATATGCCCCGTAACTTCTTTCTCGTCTAAATTTCTTGACACTTTGTTGCCAGAAAAGAGGTATGCATGACCCAGCTTTAAAAACTGGTGACGGGCATGCAAAGCTCTCCTGGGTGTGAGAATGCAGGTAGTCTTAGCTGTGAGCATTGCAGTAATCACTCCTACATAATGACGAAGTTTCATCAGGGGAGTTGACGTAGATGCATCATTAGCTATAGCAGAACGATAATGCGAAAAAATAAAACGAATACACAAAACACTTATCTGAGGGTAAATTATTTCAATGGAAAAAGAAACAAAGCAATGAGCATGCCCAGGTTCCGATGACATTTCAAAATGTTGCCCCGAGGGTTCGAAAAGTTCATGCTGCGCAAAGAATCTTTCAGTCACCTCCTTCCCCCAACTTGCACACATCTGTATTCTTCATGTGTTTAATTACCAGACTAACAAGAGAACAAAAAATGAATAAGGACATGGAAGTAAACATTAGTGCACGCTATTACTGCTATAACACTTTTTGCTTTATGTTTTGTTCGAAATAATTGTGCCTCTTTATAACTCGACTTCACAGGCGCTTCGCTGATGCACTTTTGTACACATTAAAAGATCCGAAAATAATTTTTTTCTTCTCATATGTTCGTCTATTACCTCTAGCTCTCTCCCGAAGCATAGATATGAACCAGTGAGAGCTTTTAGATTTCTACGTCATTGCCTTCTGTTCTTTTTTTCATTAATTCGACTCTTTGTTGCTCTAGTGCCCCTTTCATTAGCTTTCGTGCCCTTTAGTCCTAACTTTCAAAACACATTTTGCAGTAAACATTAAAGCAGCTAACCAAATGGAACAGAGAAAGTCACAGTATTTGGCCTTATCTTCGAGACAAGTTGGGATTCGTGTAAATATCGATGGAACCCAGTAACGCATTATTGTTGACTGGTCCACTTTCCGGATATCGCTCAGTTTCATGGTTTTTTCCGAACACACTCAATACCCGCCACGGTAGTCTATAGTTACAGTGTTCGACTGCTAACTTGAAGGTGACAAGATTGAATCGCGGCCGTGGCGACTGCGTGTTCGACGGTGGCAAAATAATGGAGGTCCATGTACTTCTATTTAGGTGCACGTTAAAGGAACCCTAAAGACAATTATTAAATTGATGTATAATGTTAAAATAGCAGTCGAGAAACCTCGTAGTGCTACATTCGTATCAAGTAAATGCTTCTTTTGAAATGAAATGACGTTTTAGGAGTCTGCACAGTGTTGGCTCATTTCAAATTATACGCCTGAACTGACATATCAGTTGCCTTGGCCAATGGTCCCGCCGTTACTGCGCGGCCACTGAGACTAATAGCAGCAGAGCACTGCTCAGAAGTGCACGTGGGAAGCCTTGCCCAAGATGTCATTAGTCTCGTACTCATCCGCACGAAAGTGCAGCGAACACCCGCACACATTTTTTGGCTTCTACACACTGGCGTAGAGGCACTACACTGAGACACTTCGAACGTAATGATTCGCTTTGCGGCACCGAACGAAATCACGTGGCCTTATTTGCTGCAACTCAACCTGAGTACACCGTGCGGGCATCCAGCAGCATCACATGCGCGTGCCATTTTGTAGAAGTTTCAGGGACAGCGACCTTCTTAATCGTGCGAACCACCCGCAGCAGAACGCGGTACCGGAGCTACACCATTGAGATGCGACCACGTGAGCGCAGTGCAGTTGTTGCGAAAACAGACTTTTGAACCACTCGCGTCGTTACCCTCCGTTACAACAATGTTTTTTTTTTCTGTTTTCATGCGTCATAGAGATACATACAAGCAGCAGTTTATTGCGTGTTGTAATGCACGGAATTCTTTTTTTTTTGTAGCAACTGATTTGAATACTGGTGTATAATTGTATTCGAGACTCTTTATGTTGTTGGGATCATTCTAGAATTTTCCATTTATGGTGCTTATGGCGTTATACACTTACCTTAATTTATCGAGTAATAGAGCTATGCTGTTGACATTGGCATGATGTTGATGATTTAGACATGCTCAAACGTTTCATCTGTCATTCTCATTTAAATGTTTATTTTCTTTAGTGTCCCTTCAAAGTACACCAGATGGTCCTAATTACCGGAGGCCTCCACAGCAGTGTACCATATAAGATTATCATGGTTTGCAGACGTAAAGCGCCGGCAACTATTACCGAAGACACTGAATAGGGTAAAAGTACGGAAACGTGGGACACTATCTATGCCTATCACCAACTAGTTTATAATTTAAGATTACTTGTGTAGTTAGTTTGGCGTGAGTGTAATAAGTACCTACAAAACTCTGCTTTCTTTATTAGCAGTCTCTACGTGGGACTGAGTTTTGTGCGCGACGCTGTCACGTTTCGCTGAAAAAATATTGGTTATTTTCCATTCTACTTCATTTCATGATGAATTCGTAGAGAACGATGCCTTTAGGTGGCACCGACTGTTCCTTGTCGCCTAGCATAGTAAACAAAAATACAAATCACAAAAACATTCATGGTTCACACTATGAGATGAGATGTATAAGAAAGTACAAGTAATCGGCTTCATTACTATATTTAGCATCCCCTAAGCACAAAACTCTTTAAAGAGCACATAAACGAGAACACAATAATCTTCAATTTAGGAACGTCTACAAGAAACTGCACTTTTTCTCACAGCTTGTCTTAATGTAAAACGATGCAAATATTTTCCTAATGTAAAACAGGAGAAAGCAATAGGCGTTACCAAATCTCCATGTACATCACCTGCTGACGCGCAGTCGTAACTAAGCCTGCAGGTGTGCTATTCAGAACGACAAGACAAAGAAGAATTTCAAAGATCTTAAGAGGAAACTTCCGTTGTGCGAGACCACGCAAACTCGCTTGAAAGTATACAGCAAGAAAATGTGCTACGTGACCTTGAGCTCGCAACTGAGTGTCCAAAAAAAAAGAAAAAAAAAAGAGAACTGCTTCACGTGGCATGACAATAAACGCTGCCGTGCAACTCGCCTCGACACGCATGCGCTTAATAGTGGGAGAGAGAGTTTATGAACCTGCGGACTCACGAAAACTCAGCCAAGGCCGTGGAAACTGCTTGCAAACGCCGGCTGAGCGACGGGCAGGGACATTTACGGCGTTAAGAGCCCCGGGAGAGCCGAAACTGCCTCCACGACTTCCCTAGTTGAAAGATATATATATATATATAAACTCTTAATTTTTTTTCCGTCCCAGCCACTTTCAGTCAGAGAGCGTGCGGCGGCAGCTTCCTCTCTTCGGCGCAGACCTTCTGCAGCGACCGCTCTCACGCCAGCAAAAAGGGAAAACAAACAAAAGCAGCGAAGGTTACAGAGCGTCCTGTTCATGCCGCGGCAGGAAACAAATTTCGCGAGTGGCCGCCAGCGGCGGCGTGTTTTACTTTACCCTACTATACGTCCGGTTACTTTTCGTTACGTACCCGCGGTTGCGAAAATATACCTGCGCAATTGCTCTCCACATAAAGACGCAATCTATAAAATGCAGGTTACTAGTATATGATTAAACGAAGATGAGAAATACCCCACTCCCTCCTTACTTTGTACACTCTCCATCTAAGTGTTTGCGCACACACTTAGATGAAGAGTCGGAGGCAGGAGTGATGCAATGAAACCAATTTCATTACACTCCTTTCCACGCTTCGTCTCAACTGTGGTTATGAATTGAGTTAATCATATATTGAACACAGTAAATGTTCGTTCGTGTGTTCACAGTGTGAAAACTTTTATTCATTAAGCGACGCCTTGCAGGCTACCAAGACTAAATAAACACGCACATTTTATATCAAGAATAGCTATAAAAGAAAACTGCTTTACGAGATTGAAGTGATACGTGCTATGCAGCGACCAGCGAAAATAACGCTTTCTTGCAGCCAGTGACAAGCCTGATGAGTATACCAGTGCTGGTATCTTTCACCTGAGTTGTAGCGTAATTTCGAAAACTTTGGCGCTGTTTTACGTCATCTGCACACTAGAAACGCTGTAAAGCGTCTTAAATTGCGCGATAATCTCCGAAAACTTCTCAATCTCAGAAGTAATCTTGCATCATATTTGCCCCCGTGAAGCCACCTCAGAATAAAACCAGGTGCGCATCATACTATGTCCATGCATTTGAGATGTTTTTACACAGCTGGCTGTTCTTCTAATGTTGGCGCTTTACGTGGTAATGTAGATGGGGTCACGACTGTCCCTCACACCATTCAACAAACATCCTAGTCGTCATTACTGATGTCATTATGAAAATTGTGTGGCGCAGTCTAGGGCCTAATATTACGGCGAACTATACCTGCATTTACGGTGAGTGTTCTACACTCGCATTGATGGCAGTTGGTTCTTCCTATTATTATGCACTACACTGCGTAATCACCACAGGCGGCCCTGATTGACTCTACCACCCATAAATTCACCTATATATTTTATAAAGTGAGCAGGGGGATGACCATCGCCGTAGATTTGTGGTTCAGCATCGAACAATTCGGAAGTCGCAGGATCGATCCCTGCCGGTGGCGAGTTATCTTTTCGTTCACTATTCTTTCAACTCATTTAGATTACGATTACTTCTATTAAAATCTCATATACGTTCCTTGACATCACTGTCTGTTAGTTCTCATTATATTGCGTGTAACGAAGAAAAGGAGTAGGGCTATTTAAATTTACACTTCTTTCCTGCAGTCAATGCACATTTGCGTAAATATTCAAGAGTGTGGGCGTGGACACAATCACCTGTTATACATGAGTGCGAACGTAATGATGTTAAATTATGCTTATTATTTGTATTCTTCACCAGTACTGGCGACATATGGCGATTCAAGCGGCGCCTGTTCACGCCGGCGTTCCACTTTCGAGTGTTGGAGAACTACATATGCCACTTCAACGAGAACGGCAACGTGCTCATCAAGAAACTTGAAAAGCACATCGACGAGAAGCCGGACGAAGCCCTGGCAACCTTCCCGCTCATGCAGCACCTGACGCTCGACATCATCGGCCGTGAGCACATACCGTTTACCTTTTTATTTCTTGTTTAAGTGCATAATAATCAGCAGCAACGCATACCTAGTGCGTTTTAAGGGCAAATGTCTCAGGTTTATGAAAACAAGCTATCCAGTAAAAACTACAGCATAATTAAATTAAAGCGAAATACTAATCTACTTTACGCTCATGAACTATATTTTGAGAGTGATAGTCCTAATTGTATTGAGTTCCTAGCGATGTGTACTATAAGAGCCGAATATGGAGTCTGAAGTTTCATTTTTCACATTTAAGATCAAAACTCTGGCACACCTGGTCGTCGATGAGATGTCACAAATTTAGAAGCATTTATTTGTATTTCGTCCGCATTGGCACAATATATAAGTACCTGAAATTTCCCATGTCTCTGCAACATACTGCAATTTATTTTCAACAATAACGAGTTAAGTGCACCTTAGTACATGGTGTCCTAATCAGTGACGTTACGATGCGTTGGCGCGGGAACTACTAGGTGGCATAGCCACTTTATTTCGTCTGCAAGTTTTCTCTCTTGCGAAGTGTAAGCTGACATCTTCCTACGTACATTGCCACATGTTGTGAGCAGAGTTTAGATTGTAGTGAACAGGAACGTCTTCCTGCGATCACTCAGGAAGACGCGAGGAGCACCGTGTTGCAATACAGGGATGTTGAGAAGAAAGTCTGGGACCTCTGAAGCAGACTTGTGCGTTGCGGAGCACTTTCAGGTGCCATGTCTGGTAATTGACAGCAGTCAAAATCTAACGATGACCTGTAGGCATGACGGAGAAAGGTCCGAACAGGTCTATTCCAACAATGACGAAAGGTGTCTCAGGACACGGGAGTGGTTGCAGAAAGCCAGCAGGACGCAAAGTTGGTCGCTTCCACCGCTGACGCAGAGGGCAAGATGGGACGTACGTGACTACAAAGGGCAGAAAAAACGATTCTTGGTGCGACTTTGTGTTTTATGGAGCCACAAGTGGCCTGCACATGACTCGTCGTAAAAGTCTTCGAGGACTTGGTGACATAGTGCACACGGAAGTACTAGAACTCAGCAGTGACTATCAGTGGTGTAAACGTAACCATGGAGCACATTGTTATCGAGCTTAAATTGATGTAATTGTTGGCGCAATCTAGCATTACAAGATGATGATCTGCCACTTAGGCGCTGGATAATGCAGTCGCAATATAAATCATCACGCTGGTGTCTAGCGAATTTGGTGTAGCGACTGGAAGCCAGCGTGTCTGTAACCGCAAAGTGGTATAATGTGAGAGGTGACTCAGTGTCCTGCCCACGTGATGAAAAATTAGCAGACGTACTCGATCATGACAGTGGTAGAGGGCGGCGAGAGAAAGATTTTGCATATTGTTGTTTCTTGTCATCAATGTCGATGACGTTAAAATTGTACTCTTGTCGGCAGAGAACTCTACGACCGAGGTGATCAGAAATGTTTTTCAGCGACGCTAGTCAGCGTAAGGCGTGATGCTCTGTGATAACTGTGGAGTGGCGTCCAAAAAGATACGGTCGACATTTTTGGAGGGCCCAAATTACAGTGAGCCCTCCTGCTCAGTTATCGAGTAGTTCTGTTGAGCAGTCGGGAGAGCATGACTAGCACACGCAATAACTCTATCTCGTGAAGAGGCATCCCACTGTAAAATAACTGCACCAATGACATTGACGCTCGCGTCAGTGTCCAGAAATGTAGGTGCGTTTTCGTCGAAGTGACACAGAACGAGGTCGGATGTTTAAGCATGCTTGAGGGCTTGAAAGATAAGCTCGCAGTCGTCATTGCAAAAGAAGGCAGATCCTGATGTCAGCAGCTTGTGCAGTGGCGACGCGATGACGGCAAAGTGACTGATGAAGCAGCGGAAGTAGGACACAAGGCCCAAAAAGCTTCATAAGCGTTTATGATTTTCTGGCCGATGAAAGCATATCGCGGCCGTAATCTTGTAAGGATGCAGACAAACGTAATCTTTGCTAACAAGGTGGCTAAACACCTTGATGGTTTTGTGGCAAAATAGCATTTCTTTTTGCTCAGCTGAAATTGAGCGTTGGAAATACACGTTGAAACATCGTCTAAACAGTCAGGATGCTAACGAAAGTGAAAGGAGATAATGACCTTCGCATCTAGACAACATAGACATTTTTTAAACTCAAGGCCATGTATAAATGTGTCTATGATACGTTCAAACGTGCAAAAGCACTACACAACCCCAAAGGCGTGACGTTGAATTCATACAGCCTGTCTGGTTTTGCAAAAGAAGTTTTTTTGTTGTCCGCTTCATGCATAGGCATTTGCCAATAGCCAGACTTTAAGTTGAGGCTGGAGAAACATTGAGCGCCTTGCATAGAGTTAAGTGCGTCGTCGATTTGTAGCGCTGCGTTCGCGTCTTTGGGCGTGAACTTATTGAGTGCTGAATAATCGAAGCAGACTTGCAACAAACCATTCTTCTTTCGGACCAGCACTACAGGTGATGACCTAGAGCTGGACGAAGAACGTATAACATATCATTTGACCCTAAAAGCAACGTTGTGTGCGATGATTTTTCGCTCCTCGGAAGACACTCGATACGGGCGGCGGCGTACCATTGCTTTGCTTTCTGTTTCAATGCAATGCACGGCGACTAAATTGTGACCCAGAAGCTGTGGTGAGTGTGAGTGTTGCAATGTAATACGAACGGGGCGTGCAAGTTTATTTACGTGTGATCAATATTGTGTGCTCAGACTGCAATTTGATTGCATTTATGCTTCGGGATAGTAGGCTGCGCTAATTATTTTCTTTCTCGAGGGAGGTAAAGATGTACTCCCATGTTAACCTGAAAAAGTTCCCCGATGGAGGTAAATAAACACTTCCCTAAATGAATTCAAAAACCCCGCTCTATTGGAGAGTAAATAATTTACTCCCTCCGGATGGTGTTCATCACATCCCCATCGGGACTTGCGCTAAAGGACCAGTCGTTCACTCCCTTCTGGGCCTATTTTTTATTTAGAATGTTGTGTAAGCAGTGTTATTACAGAAACAGGGTCGCGAATTTCTACAAACTGTGAACGATCTCTTTATTTGTCAAAAAACATTTCGCTTAAAGCGTATTGCATATGTTAAATAATATTTTCCTACCTCTTTTCATAAATTTTCAATGAGCAACTCATTTTGTGTGTCGACACTGCGAGTACTGTTCGTTTCGCAGGAGTGTCCATGGGAACGGTACTTGGCATGCAGACCGACTCGGGCAACCCCTTCGGAAAAAACCTCAACAGGTAATTGGCTTTCTTATTGCAGAGGTGTGGCAATGTTGCGAAGTTTGAACGGCTAGCGCAGCTTTTGAAAAGACCTTATAGTAAAAAAAAAGTTATATTAAATTTCGAACACACGTGTATAGAGAGAAATAAGTAATTGCCATGAAAGGAACGCCTAATAACGAAGTGCCTAGTTGAACAAATGAGAACTAGTTCATGCCTGTGCTATTTTAAGAAGCAGTGGAGCTTCAAGCAAACGCCACCACATGGCCAACGCAGAATTTTCTTTCTTCATTTTTTTCATTTATGTTTTCTTTTTTTAGTGCTTTCTTACATGTTCTTTTTTCTTCTTTATTTCAACTTTCTTTTCTTGTCTCTTTTTGTGTTGCCCTCTATGATATGCACGGCTATTTTAGGCAAGAAGCTGCTCGGCATCTGTTAGCTTTTGTGGCTGGTCACGACAAACAGTGGAACCAAACGTTTAGGCAGCTCGTCTGTTACAATTACATTCGTTCGAAAAGAACGCGTGCCCTTTGCTCGCCATATTAGCGAATGTTTTTGTTGAGCGTAGAATTCACTTGGTATGTGGTTGTAGGAAATCGCGCTTTACTAAAATTGTAAAATTACTAAAAAAATGTACTATAGCGCAAATAACAATCATATAACAGTAGACAATTACTAATAAAAATGTTTTCCACTATTTCCAGATTATCCTTTATGGTAGTCTTGCGGGGCTTCAGGCCATGGATGTGGATACAGCAAATATACGACTTCACGTACGAAGGAAAGGTATTCAGAGAGACTCTCCTTGACATGGAGAAATTTAGCATGTCGGTAAGTGCGCTGAATATGTTCGTGATGTTATAATATTTCTTGTTAATATTTTTTGAAACATCAGCTTGTTACACACGCATTACGCTGCTCGGCCTATTAGGACGAATAAAATGAAAGGATGGGTTTTATTTCCACAACAAATTTGTGTTAGCTTGACAAAATATTTGATTATACTAAATTATGACAGACGTGCAGCGCAGAAGATATGAAGGGCTGAGAAAAAGACCAAACGAGTGTTGACAGACAACTGAACTACTGAACGTGTGCGCACCAAAATTTACTTCAAGGTCACATGATGCGTGTGGGGCAAACGAAAGAGCCCACAAGTTATTGAAATATTGTTTTTTTATACGATGTGGTAGAGATTTGTTTGACACAAGCAGAAAAATCTACGTGTACAAGATGTGCCTTGACTATCTCTCAGCTTGATTGATTTCTAATATTGGGCATTACCACTGTACCTGAAGCAGAGGCCCGAATTGGCATCTTCGGCAATATCCAGCCTTGTTAGAGCTACAGTTGATTTTTTCCCACAAGCGTGATGATGTCGGTGGCAAACGCTAAAGCAACATGCAGCCTCCCCGAAGTAAACTTCGCCACATGAAACCGTTATTAAAGGGGTAGGTTGATGGTCTCCATGGATGACTGCACAAACATCCGCGTGCGCTCAATCTGAGCAGTAATTTTTCGGCTGTAAGTGAGCGCTTCTCTCTGTTTTTTTTTATCTTTTGTATAAGGGTTAAGGAGGCGTTTATTATATGTTAACTTACATGCTCACTCTGCTTTGGCTGTCAATTCACTGCATTTTATCAGAGTTTATTCGCAATTTGGATATATAACTCTGCCATAAGCACAGTAACTTTAAAGTTGAAACGGATAGGTAATGACGCCATTCCGGGATAAATCAAAATGCTTCGTTGAATGTCACAGTAGAAATTCTTTTGTCATACGTGCACTGCGAAGTACGATGTGTTACGTTTGGCAGTTTCCTAGAATTTTTTATGCGTTACTCAGAGATAATTGAAACTCGGGTGCCCCCAACGCACCCTAGTTTCTGTCAAGTGGTTGTAATTCCGTCAAAATGATGTAACTCACTGTAATTCAATAACTTTGTTTCATATGTGGTGTCTAAATGACTCTAGAAGCCAAATGAACAAGAGATGTAGCCGTAAGTTCAAATTAAATTTTTCAATGGAAGCGTAATTGTCAAATTTGCCGAACTTACAGAGTGCAGCATTTGCCATTTGTATACTGTCATTTCGTGTAGCGCTAATGTGTTGTCTTGCTTTGTTGCTGGACAGGTGATGCAACAGCGCAAAGAAAAACTACAGGAAATGGAACTGAGTAACGAAGGCGATGATGAGGGCGCTAATGATGAAAATGATGACGATGAAGATGGAAACAGCAAACCCATTGGGAAGGAGTCCATTGTACTCGACTACCTGCTCAAAAAGCACCTAGAAGAGAGCAGTTACACCATCGACGAGGTCAAGAAGGATATCGACACCATTATATTTGGAGTACGTTGAAATGCTCTTATATATATATATATATATATATATATATATATATATATATATATATATATATATTGAATCAGCGAATGGTTTTATTTTTCTTAAGTTGAGCGTCAACCTTCATGTGTGTTTTCTTTTCTTGGTGGAAGCTTTATGATTTCTCGCGTCCTTTTGTACCTTTCGATGCGAATGAAGATGCCTCGTACGCCCGCTTAAGAACATTCTGTTGAGCAATACGTGAAGTGTTCTGCATAACTGAGAACAGCGGGAGTCAGTGGTGGCACGCACACAATAGCTGTGATCCACGCTCTGTGCAAAGATAGCACCAATTCTGATAAACCACCGTATCGTATGTATCTAAATACCGAAAACTTGCAATGAAACTTTGCGCAGAGTCTGCCCATGCCATTACTATGGAGTGAGGAATTCCGTACAGTGCAGTGTTTGATAACAAAGGGCTGAAGCTATTTCAATGGTTCGTTGCAATGAAAATGAAAGAAGTACAGGCATTTCAATAAAAAGGTTTCGCTAACCATGCGCCTCATGCTACTTCACATGAATACAAAGGTAAATGGAAAGATGGGCTATGGGCTACGTGCAAGGGCCTTTTAACACCATTAGCATAACAAAAAATATACATCAATGAAACCAGGTTCTCGCAGAAAAGTTTTATACGCCCCGCAGCGCACGACGCAAAGGCATGCCTGTGTATAACTAAAGCAAAAAACATACAGGTTACTTTTACAAAAACATTTTGTGTACGCAAAGTTGAGACTAGCAGGGTGTAGTTGGTATTGAATGATATGTGGGGTTGAACATCCTAAAAGCACAATAAGATTATGATAGACGCCGTAGTGGAGGGCTCTGGAAATGTCGACCACCTGGGGTTCTTTAACGTGCACCCAAATCTCTTAACACACAGGCCTACAGAATTTTCGCCTGCATCGAAAATGTAGTCACCGCAGCCGGGATTTGATCCGGTGACCTGCAGGTCAGCAGCCAAATACCTTAGTCACTAGACCACCGCGGTGAAGCAAAGGCGATAGTAGTCATTTTTCTGAACAATCAAGGTGCCAGGTTGAATAAGCCTGAACCCTCGCCGCGATCTTCTAGCAGTCACAGTACTTGATTGTTAACCAAAAGGTCGTTGAAGCGACTCCCGGTCACGGCGGATACATTTAAATGGAGGCGAAGCGCAGCATGCCTATGTGCTTACTCTCACAGAATTTGAGAGAGTAGTGCAAAAGCAAAATACTTGTGTTACTCTTCCCATAGTTCTTTAGTTCTGCGGAAGAGTAGGGCAGAGTTGGCCACGGAACTTACTCTTTCCTTGAAGGCAGAGTAAAATAGACTGCGAACGCTCGGCTACTTAGGTGGAGTTCCCTATCAATGCAACTCTCGTGCCGATGAAGCATGAATGGGGCCTCGCATTCCGTCCTTGCTAACAGAGTGCTGTCTAGCACGTGCATTATGCCACTGATGCCGCAAAGCAATGTATCTGTCTCGTAACCATACGCCTCTGAGCATAGACGCCCGAGATGTAAGTTTAATTTATCAAGTTAATAGGATAACTTTCACTGATAACAAATGCATGGTTTTGTGGTTATGGACTTTTCGTTTCCGAAGCGCCAATGGTAACACCTTCGAAGCAAGAAAAAGCGACAACATCTAACGTGTCACCAAAAGTGCTACGCGAGTAAGTGAGAGCCTCGACACATAGAGTGAAAAAATATGTGTTACAAAAAGAAAACTTATTAGCAGGGTTCGAGCTCGCCACCTACGTATAACCAAGCGGGTATCACTAGGCCACGTTGCGCCACGCTTGCTACGTGGTAAAGAAAAACAAACTGGTAATCAGAAAGCACGCCGTTCTGCTTCACGGGTCGCTGTTTCATCACATACGTGACATTGGTTTCCAACGTAACCTTTCTTTTACAGAATAGAAGCTACTGCGTTCACGCATGACGTGCCACTAATTGAGAGAGGCTAAGCTTTTTTTTTCAGAATTCACAACGTACAAAACAAAATATACAAACAATCGAGAACCTGGGGCAGATTTCCAGATTTTACTGCCGAGTGGAAAAGCCGTTTGTCACTCCTTCTGCTGATTGACGTACACAGAAGTTCTATATAGACTGCAATGCTCAATAAGTACGCACGTAGTTGATTTATTAAGGTGTATTTTCTCGCGCTAGCAATGTTATGCTGTAGTGTAGTGGCCGTGTCAGAGTGTACTGATTTGCATCTGTAAATCAATAGCTGGAACTACATAGCCGATTGCTAAAAACCAAATTGCATGTGTACGAAAGTTTCTCTTCATGTTAATTTGAACGCGCATTGCACTACTAGCCTGTGTTTTCACGTATAAGTCAGCGATGTGCCGATGAGTGCTTTCGGCGGCGGTCCGTGTGCGCGGCACCCCAGGTTGAAAGAGCGTCGCATCGATGCTTATCACTATATGTGTGGACATCGTACTCAAGAAACAAGGGCACAATCAAGTTAATCGATGACAAAGCTCTACTGCACTGTCATTCTTGGTACTCGGCATCAATCATAATAAACCCAGAAGCGCCGATGACTTGTATGTTGAGTTCAGCTGGTAAATGAGGCCAACAATCCTTGGGAGTTGTATTCGTAAGGGTCACATTTAGTTGCACCGATCTCGGCGCAGTTGGCTTGCGAAAGCTGAAGTTTGTGCATTCTGCAAGTTTCTTATTGTGACATTAAAGTGTAGACGAGGTAAGCAAAACTATAACAGTTGCCAGAGATGCGTTTAAGTAGTGGTATTGCCGACCGGCGTTGTTTTCTGGCGTATACTAGTACACATCGCGACATCGCAAGTCGCATCAGACGCCAGATTCTAACGTTCGTAGATTATTCCTCGGCCATTACTGCTGAAAGGTCGTCCCAACTCTGTTCGTAAGCACCTAGCTACAACTTCCAAGCTTGGGCGTAAGTGCGTACGTGGCTTCAGTGATGGAGCCGATATGACAGAATGGCACCTGATAACTAGAATTTAGTATTGAAAATTGCGTTCAATTTCTTGTAGTTATATAAAAAAAAGGTCCACCAGCCTACAGAGTACCTAACGATCACTAGATACTTACACATGCTAGATGTATCTTTGCTCTTCTCAACCCGCAATCGGATGGGGCTAGACATCACGAGTATAAATACCGGTTGCTGTAGAACTGGTTGTCCGTATAGCAAGAGCAGTGTTGCCGAAGATGCCAATTCGGTCCTCTGCTTCAGGAACAGCGGTAATTCTCAATCACACACACACACACACACACACACACACACACACACACACACACACACACACACACACACACACACACACACACACCACACACACACACACACACACACACACACACACACAACACACACACACACACACACACACACACCACACCACACACACACACACACCACACACACATACACACACACACACACACACACACACACACATATATATATATATATATATATATATATATATATGTGTGTGTGTGTGTGTGTGTGTGTGTGTGTGTGTGTGTGTTCAGTGTTGCTGACGATTGTATTGTGTGCGCTTTTGTCCGTCCTGTACATTTGACGTAAGCTTGAAATAATCTATGCAGTTCACTTTCTTTACAAAATGCTGAACATGTTTGTTTCAGACGTCAGTGCTAGAGGAGGACAAATGATTCTACTCTTGATGGGAGTTGATGCACTAGGGCGACCAGATGGCAAAACTCTGCGTGAGAGTAGCGCAACTCCCGCAGAGCATGTGTGAACTCTATTTCCGAAGCGTAACTGTGCTCGGCGAGGAGGCTTGTTTACTTTCGTTCAGCCAGAGTACCGGAACTCTGTCAGGAGAGTGGGCCTACTCTGTGCAGCAGAGAATTCTAAGCTCACCTGAATAGAGAGAGGAATATGGAACAATGAAGCCTAATGGCCAGCACTGTCTTAGAGCTGTGACTAGATATAAGTAAACTTTAAAGACCACCAGATAGTCTAAATTTCTGGAGCCCTCCACTAAGTTATCACTCATAATCATATCGTGCTTTGTGAAGCAAACCCCAATAAATGTTGTTAATAGAATATATTATTATTTTATATTATTGTTATTATTATTATAAATATTATTATTATTATTATTATTATTATTATTATTATTATTATTATTATTATTATTATTATTATTATTATTATTATTATTATTATTATTATTATTATTATTATTATTATTATTATTATTATTATTATTATTATTATTATTATTATTTGAGCTAGTGCTTGGTGTTAAAAATGCCGTGTAACGTAGACACATTATACCAAAATGCTTGTGGTCCGCATACCAAGAAAACAAGTTTTTCGCTACGCTCTTTCGTCTTCTTTTCCTGTAAGTGCTGCTATTTGTAAAGCCTGCTTGGGCCTCGAAACTTTCACGTGTGACATTCTTTTCCACGAACTTCACCGATTTCCGCACCGACCTAGATTTCAGTGCAACCAAATTTCAGTGCAGCCAGACGACGAAGGTTTCAGTGTCGGTGCCACAAACAGTTCATTTATGTTCGTTAGACAGAAAGACTTGGAATCTTTCGAAGAAATCATCTGATATAAATCAACTTCGAGTGCCGGTAAAAACTTTTTATTGCAAGTTTATATTTACCACCGAGCATATCTTCTGCCTTGTTTGAGGATGTTATGTCTCCAATTGAACATGTATTATAGTCTCGTAGTGGGCACAACAATATTGTTCTTGGTGACTTCTATGTTCCTGGATTTGACTAGAGTGCGCTTAACTCTTCTAGTTATAAATACTTCAGTGAAAAAAAGGTCCAGTCTCCTTTTGGATTTTCTGGCGTTGAATTTCTTACTGCAACATAACCTAGTAGCTAATAATAGAGAAAACATCTTAGACCTCTGTCTATCAAACGATCAACCCGTTGAAGTTTCAAGCTCCGACATTTCTCTTGTTGTCCTGACAAATTGTACCCACCACTTGATCCAAGATTTTCTGTATGTGTCGAAACAACTAGCTACGGCAGTCACTTTCACCAATCTCCGATATTTGTTTTAAAGAAACTACATGAGCTTTTATCACTACTTCTCACCGTTGATGGGTCACAGGTTACTCACAAACCAGATATTCATGACCAAGCTGAGCAGTATACGGAACTTGCATTAAATAGCATACGTAAGTTTAGTCTGCAATCGACAACTAAACATCGTAAACATCTCGACGGTATTTCCCTGAAACTATACGTGCACTGAAGCATAAAAACCGCTCACAAAAAGTAAAAATGTTCTCCATTTAGCAGGTGAAAGGAATAGTTCAGCTTTTTAGGAACTTTATCTAAGCTCCTTCATAAATGATATCACAGGTGATATACTGTGTTTTTAGGAAAAAAAAGCTTCTGGCAGGCCAGCTGAGGTTTTGGAGTATGCATGCGAATGGTCTAGCGAAATTTGGGAGTCCTTCAGGCTACTGACTCGGATTGTGTCAAAGTGCATGGCATCACTGTTTATTTTACCATACATTTTCGTTCGTTTATAAGGCCTCGGACCCTACGGCTCACATAGGAAAACACCCCAAGGCAGTCAACACATCTAGTGGCTTGTCGCTGGAAGAAAATCTCATCTGCTCATATTTAGGCGCCTGAAACCATTGTTATCGTAAGGCCGAGTTGTTATCATTTCCGCCATAAATAATGCTTATGGTAGTATGTTTCTGCCAGTATTGACAACAACATTTATGAACTGTCTGAACAAATCTACCTTTTTCAGCACGTTGAAAACTGCGCGTATTTTTCACTATTTAGGTTTTGCTGTTAAACTGATGTTTCTCTTTATCGACAGATTTCTCTGCTCTGCGCCATATCAAAGGTCTTTGAGCTCTCTTTTCACCACAATGACTACATTGATCACTAATCAACACTGGTTTCAATGCCACAAATATCGCAAATTGCAGACGCAAGTATCGCTACCTATTTCTCAGAGAGGACAGATATTCCTCAAAGGGGACTGGTTGGCGTACTCTACTGTCACTTGGGCAAAGCTTTTGAAGTAGCCAGCCACTCACTGTTTTTTTTTAACTTGCAAAGTTTTATGTTGACTCGTCTGTTGTGATTCTCCTGCACAGCTATCTGCTATAGATCATGTTGTGTTGCCGTAAATGGCCAAACATCTTTTTTGTATAAAGTGTTCAGTGGGTCCCCCAAGCGTCGGTATAGGCCCACTTTTATTTTTAATTCACGTTATTGATGCTTCTTTTTCAATTCGTTATTCTTCATTCCCTTGTATACCAATGACATCAAGATCTTTAACGAAATTGAATAAGTTAATAACTGTCGCTTGATGCAGTGATGTCATGTTGTTTCTGTGAATGGTGTGACAACAACCTTTCGCTCAATACATCAAAGACATAATTCATGAGTATGTCTCGCAAAACATACATCGTACGATTTTCATACTCTGTCAATACCTTGTTGTTATGTAAGGTTTGTGAGTTCAATGATCTTGGTGTTTGTTTTGATAGCGTGCTATATTTTTTCTGCTCACACTAAATATGCTGCCATGCAAGGCACTCGTCCTCTCAACTGTGTTTGCAGAATATCGCGAGAATTTGGTGCTGCAGCCTTCCACAAATTCAACGTCGCAATATGTCGTACACAGCTTGAGTATACAACTGTGATCTGAAATACCATTGCTAAATATGGCTGGGATGTCGTTCAGCAAGTCCGAAAAAATTCATAAGCATTTAAAACCACAGTTTTGCTTGAAATGTCTGGATTCGATGTAACACTGTTATGTTTTTATCATCACCATCACTTCACTGCTCAATAAATCGCGCTGGCCTGTTATTTCTTTAGAAACCAGTTAACGGTATGATATACTGTCGTTTACTTCTCCGCTGTTTAAATTTTTGGATTGCGCGTAATTTAAGCAGAGAGAATCTACCATTTCATGTACTTGCCAACTTCTTTCAACACACCGCTCACAGAAAACGTACCCCCGTATTCTAGAACGTCCCTTCACTCAACGCTTCACCTTCACTTGAGAAAGCCGAGAGAAGCACCCTCTCTAGTCACGGCAAGTAACTGCATATCAGCAATAATGTGGTGCGATTTTCGAGCAGTGCAGCGTCATTTTCAGCCGAGCAGCGGCGCAGTGCTCCACTCTGTCAAATGAAGGGCGAAAGTCGAGTTTAGAAGCGTTTGTGAATACGGGGAATAGTCTCTATAATGTTAACTTTCATGATCTTGATGTTTTTTACAGTTCATTGTCATAGTTATTATCTCAGCTTTCCAATTCCTGACATTGTTTTTCACAATGCACAGATTCCCCCCTTTTCCGTCTTTCATAAAGCCTTCCACATAGTTGTGTATACTGCCCTTTATTTTTTAATTGATTCCATGATTCTCGTCTTGTCTTTTTATTCTTCCTATCCTTAGCTTATTTCTTTTGCTATGTGCGTTCCCGCTCGTTTTATTTGATTTCTTTTCTGAAGACTGTCTCTAATGTATTTTTATAGTTATTGTTTTACTTTTGCGTGTGCCTCCACAAAGTACTTATGGTTGTTTTTTGGTAGATTAGACTGATTGATTCATTTTATAGTAATAATATAATATTATTATGAGTAGTAGTATTGTTGAACAAACCTTCGTCCCCGCTATTGTTGAGGTCTTCCACATGGTAAACTATGGTAAGTAAACAGAATTTTAAAAAGCTATTCTACATGATAGGTAACTTAGTTAGCGGTCGATGAGTGCAGTCGTATACCTCAAAATCTAATAACTGTACACTTGCTGTGCCTATTCAGGAATTTCCATGCAATTTCAAGCTCCGGTTTTGTTTTGTAGCTCACAAAACTCAAAATTTTCACAGCTTGTAGTGTGAAATTTTCTTAAAAAAAGCGTTTTTTACTCGTTGTAGATTTCAACAGCGTTCATTGTGTCGTATGTGACAACTAAGACACCGTTCACAGGCTACCAGCTCCGATTTGAAGCCGTTCTTGAAACAGACACTCTAAATACAGTACTACCGTAAGTTCTCAAAAGAAAGTTGATAGAGTAAGACGACTTCCAGACTGCCACTCCATTACTCTAAATGAAGAGGCAGACGGAAGTAAGTAGAGTAAACACAGGCCCGAAAAGCCCGTCGATGCAAGTAGAACTCACTTGGTGACCGCGTTTCGGGCGCATACATCTCAGACTGACATCCCAAGCTTTTAGTTCGTGAGTGTTATGGTTTAATGACCAGTTACTTTCACTATTATGTGTAAATATTTGCTAAGGTTTGCGCTTAAAGACAGTCCAATAGCATGAAACACCTAATATTTGAAGCTTGCTGTAGAATCCTTATTCACTTACTTTTTTGGGGTCTTTTTAATCTCTCCTGACTCCCTAACTCTCAACTGTGTAGTTGACTAGTTGTTCTTCTACTTTGTCAAAAATTTCTCTCTGCTGTTACCTCTCTTAAAAGATGTTTATGAGGACTGGAAGGTAGTGTGCCTTTGTTAATTCATGGCCATAACCTAAGAGTTCATGTATTTCTGATGTAGTGACTACGCGTGTAAACCACACAGATGTTTTAGTAGCAAACAACTTTTTTAATAGAAAGTATTACCATCACATACATCAGGGCACGCGCATCAGGCAATAGTTATTTTGTAAATGGTCTTTTGTACGCCAGTGTAATGATCTCCTTAGAAAAGGGCTGGAAATCTGAGTCTACAAACAATAAAAGTGAGCTGTGAATGTGTTTTAGAGCATATTGCTGGAGCAATGTGAGGCCGCAAGTTTACTACTTCAATGAGAAAGTACTGCATCATTGTGTTAGCTAGCTTCAGTAATCTTGGATCACATTCACATCACTTTTTCGTAAGTGTTTTTTATAATTTCCCCGCTTTCGTCACTTCAGCATTGGCACTTCAGCATTGGCAGACAGTAAAGTAAAAAGTTGGGCGAGTTGGTGCTGGTTCATGATGATAAGGGGCGCGAAAAAAACGACACACAACAGAGAAGCGCGTCGTCCCGTGTACTTCTTCTCTGTTGTGTGTCGTTTTTTTCGCGCCCCTTATCATCATGAATTGGCAGACATTCACTTACACGAACAGGTACAGCGCTTACCTGTGTGCAGTGACACGCATTCATTATTTTTAGAGTGATACCGTCACTGTTTCCTCTACCCTGTATCCCCATCACGCATGTACACTATTAAGTATATATTGCCACGAAATTATGGTGGCCTTTCATGACTTTTTTCTTTAACGTAGGGAAACGACACGACTACATCTGCAATGAGCTGGGCTTTTTACCTTCTTGGACTACACCCGGACAAGCAGGCCAAGGTGCACGCAGAGTTGGACGAAGTCTTCGGTACTGACCGTGACCGGGACGTGACGAAGGCTGACGTCAACCAGCTCAAATATCTCGAGTGCTGCATCAAGGTGCGTGCACCGTTTCTGAAACATGCGTCATGGCTTTCCTCCAAAACACTGCATCTCGTTCAGACCGACTCAGATTCAGGACTACACTCTTCTCGACTCTTAACATTATATGTAAGATAATTGTTAAGCAGAGGGAGAAATTCGCTTTGCGATGTGCTCTCGTGTTGCTCCCTAAAATTATACTTGAAGTTAATGCAGACCGTAGGAATGCGTGCATCTAGATCGTCACTGATCTGACTATTTCTTTCAGATCACACCCGTTCTTGGCGTTCTTTAATCATAGCTATACATCGTACCGAACAAGTGCGCATAACACCATCGCAGATGACATCGTTATCATCTGAAGGGCGTGCCGCTGAAAATGACGTTGAGTGCTTCGATTTTTATGTGATCATTCTAGTGAATGTGCTCGTGATCTCGATCTTTGTACAGTTAACGGGTTATTGTTCTTGTGCGTATTGCCATTATTAGCAGACAGACAAAAATAAGCTGCTGAGCAATATTGCGATGCTAGCTTAGTAATGCTTTTGAGTATCTTAATTCTATATCAAGATACATTCAAAAATTGTATTTGTGCTCAGTAGTGAAATACTTTTATAATGTATTGGTTGTGTTGTGGTACTGTGCAGGTCACGAGAATCCCGTTGCTTTTTGTTGGAGATGATTCAACATGTTAGTGTAAAGGAAACAAAGACAATTTATGCTAAGCCTAGCAAATTCACACCATCTTCCTAAAAGAAACCCCGAAGGCATGTGAAGCGGCAGTGTTTAGCACGGGTGGCGTCACAGATTGAACGGCGCTGATGCGCGTGCTGCGGTTAGCGCAAAAGATTCGTTTGAAGCTATGGATGGCGTAGGTCTTGTCGTTTCTTCAGAGTGGACATGGACGCTAGGCCAGAGCTGGCCCACGTTTCACTTCGACTACCACGGCCTTGTGATCGCTGAAGTGCATGCACACTGAGAGGTTTCTGCAGAAAATGCACGTCGAAGTTGGCAAAGACCAGGCCGGTGCACATTCCCTTTACTGTGGTGGGTAGTTTCCGTACAGCTGCCACGCACTTCAGCGAGTGCACGTCACGCCTGTAATCGTCCAGATGTTCTCCTCCTGCCCTGCTGGCGTCAACGTTAGCGACTATAAAAAGCGTGCGTCGACACGCCTCACCGCTATCACTCAGCGTCTACTCCAGACAGCGCAGGTTGGGAGTGAGGTAGAGCGCAAGGATCACGACGTCGCTGATGCGCACGACAACGCATTTGTAGAAAGAACGCCTTCGAAAGGTTCCACATTGTTCTTCCAGTACCGGCGAGTTGGCTTTGTAGCGAGCGGCCGTCGTGGTAGCGGAGCGAGTGACGCCAGCGGCAAGTGTAGTGATCGAACGGATGAGGCGGCAGATGCACTCGCTGCGGTGAGCGCGTGGCAGGCGAGGGAGAGAGCAACCTCAGCGCGCACTCTGAGGGGGCCATGACGTCAACGCGCAGCTCCGGCATCAACTACTTGGCGCCGCTCTAACACTTGTGGAGATAGCAGCGCGTTGCAGCGCCTTCGTATGGTTGCACGGAGGAACAGCACTACACAGGGTTCAAAGAGCTCCTTCGCACCAAAAAGGCGTGCCACAGGTCGTCAACATAAGCACACAATGTCCCATGTAGTAAAACCCTCTACGCCGGAGATGCAGAACCTCAGAAGCCGTATTCTCTGCCTTGCCGATAAAGTCGCTAATTTTTAAGGCTGGCATAGTAGCCCAAATTTCGTCTGAGGGCCGGACCGCTGGTGAGTTCACAAGTCTTGTTTAGAAGATGAACCAACGTTCTCTATGAGACAGTATACTTGAGAAACTGTTGTTGCCTAAATGCAGGTAAATGAAGGAACAGCTTTTGCTGCAAAGCAGAGTTTTTCTGTAAAAAAAAATATTTTATGCCTCCTTTTTTGCCACTCACATTCGTTAGTGCGTCGAGTGATAGGCTTTACTTGCAAGCTTCAATAAACTGCAACATCACTCACAATATCATACTGCCCTTTCTTAAATGCATTTGCAGAGTATCGTCATTCCTGAAAAAAAAAAGAATCCTGTAACCTTATCCCTTCATACTTTTTATATGAGAAGCACTTTTGGAGGAACATGAGTGCCTTTACTCGTATCTATCTATCTATCTATCTATCTATCTATCTATCTATCTATCTATCTATCTATCTATCTATCTATCTATCTATCTATCTATCTATCTATCTATCTATCTATCTATCTATCTATCTATCTATCTATCTATGACTTTTAGCTCTCCTGTCCATTTCAATAAAGAGATCTATACGAATATTAGTATGGCATAACATCACTGTATCACAAGCCTAAGTGACTATTCGTAACATGAAAACCGTGACACATATGTCATGAACGTCATGATTTACATGCCGTGGTATTGCTGCTCTAGCACTGGTTTAATTCTCATGACATTGCAAGACTGGTAGGGTATGACATGACTGCATGTCGAACATAAGTGACAGACCCTAACGTAGAAATCATGACAGGCATGTCTTTTAAGTTATAACCACAAGCCCCGCTCATGTTGCACTCGCGGTCGTTTCGGTAGCTGCAGATATATCAAATTTGGTATTACGTGGCGTGAATGAATGACGAAGATACATTACTGGTGCAAAGATGATAATCACGACATGCGCGTCATATAATACCAAATTTCGTATTACGAGATGCGAATGGATGACGAAGGTAAAAGCCACGTCCAAACATGACAATCCTGACATGCGTGTAATATAAAACACGACTACATGCTACGCTCATTGCGCCCTTGCGGCCGGTTTACTAGTTTGGCGTGGATGACGAAGGTATGCCTCATGCAAACATGATAATCATGACATGCGTGTCATGTAAGAACTTGACTACATGCCATGCTCAAACGCTCACAGCCGTTTTGCTAGCTTCACATATACAAAGTTTAGTATTAAGTGACGCGAACGGACGGCGAAGGTAAATGACAAGTCCAAACATTATAATCATAACACTCGTGCCTTGTAAAACACGATTACAGGCTACGCTCATAGCGTACTCGCGGCTATTTCGCTAACTTCACATATAGGAAATTCAGTATTACGTGATGTGAAAGGACTGAGAACACAAATGCTGGGCGCAAACATGATAATCATGACATGGAAGTCATGTACGCCATAATTTACATATACTTAACACTGGTGGTGCTGGTATCACAAACGTTCGTGGGGCCGTCGTTACGCGACTATAAACAACATTGTATCTTAGGTAGATAGTTGAGTGCGCATACCATTTCTACTTATTTTTACTATGTACATGTTGTGCTGATTTTAGAGAAACATATCAACTGTCCCCATTTTTCCTTTGCATATCATCGATTCCCACTGTACGTGGGATCTGCCAATTTTTTTTCCTCTCTTTGCAAATAATTTTTCGAAAGATCCTGTTACATCAAAGAGAAATATATATCAGTATCTGTATCTTAGACTTCTGGCGCATGCAGTTTGCTTTCTGTATTGCGGAATACTTTTTTCAGCAGCTGTGCCCAGCCGTAGTGCCGGTAACCAGTTTTTCAAAATGCATTTTTTTATGTTGACCAATATTTTTTTTCAATCATAGAAACGCTTTTCGCGTGAGGTCGCACATAATATTAATCTAGCAGCGTTCGAGATGAGAGCCCAATAAAAAATTTTGTAACAACTCAAAATTCTGGAACAGTGAACAGAATAGTCTTCTGAAGAAATCTACCTCTACAGCAGAAATGTCAGCCTGCAGGCATTTGCTTTAGGAGTTTGCCTGGGTAAAGTTGTGTCATCTGGAAGCTCGCATGTTCGTGTGCGTGTGTGTTAGCTAGTTGCTACCATGTTGGTAATTAGAAGATTTTTTTACGTTCATGAAACTTCGCAACGCAACACAGTCGCACAGAAATATTCCTGTCAGCATTGTTTTAATGCGTACGTTTGATTCTAATTGAAATTATAGCAAGAGTTGTGTGACTCGAGGTTAAAGTCCTCGTCTTACTAATATGGACAGAATTCAGTCGAATCCAGGACTTTATTTCCGAAAAACGTGTGACGGCGCTAGTAACAAACGTGGCAAGAAAAATACCGTTTAGTGAGTTTCAGTCCTAACTGGTTTATACCTGTGTTGTTTTTTTTTAATATTTTCCTGGGAATTTTAGCGCATATTGTTTATTAGATAACCGTGTACGTTCTGTGTATGTAGATAATGGGATAGACGATAATGCCAGAACGAATATGGATCATGGAAGAAATCGGTCACCCTTTCGGGATTATTGTTTTCATTTTCCCTAAGCAGCCGGCTTTAATAATATAGTTGGCAAAAGTGATGATTTAGACAGCACTCTCGGATTACGGAGACGTAGCCGTCGGGCACATTGTTGCCAAGGACTGCGCAAATAAACGATACCCAGAGTATGGGCGTGGCACTTAGTTCGAGGGTCGTGCTGTATGATTTGCGCTCTTAGTCACAATGTACTGCCTTTGCCAGACAGCATGAAAGTATCACTCTTTCCGGAGAAAGAAAGCCGTGAAAGGAGTGTCAGAACTTGAAGTGTGTTTTAAATATCCTGAAGCATCATTGTATGCAAAATTGGAACAGGAGGTTTTGGTTATGACTTGGAAGGTGATATTTGCAGGACAACTGCTTCTGGAGAGCTACATATGTAGTTATCTCAGAGAGTAACAGGGAATGGTCGTTACCCACAGGTTGTTACCCAGAGGTGCTTATTTCTGGCTATAAGTGTTACCCAACACTTATAGCCAGAAATAATCTCATTGTCAAAGAATGTGAACGTATATTCAATCAGGCATTAGGTCAGAGAGGTACATACGCGTTTAATCTGACCCCTGCAGCGATGCTAGACGTACTTTTGGTCGTATATTACTGCCCGTTGCTCTTGATATTTCGGTCAGTTGCTTCGGTATACTTCCTACAGATCATAACTTTAAACCATTGCTTTATGCCTAAGGGAAACACAACTAACAGTACTTTTCAACGCACAGTTGTTTAGACGAGGCTAAAAAACACAGTATTTTTATACCATGTATTTTTGACGCTCTTGCAGGAGACTCTTCGCCTGTTTCCTTCAATACCACTGATTGGGAGGCACTTAGAAGAAGATTTAGTTATCGGTATGTTTCACAAATTTTTGCCCCTAAATCTCCAACAATGACTGGGTTGCATTTTTCCGTATACGTTGAAGTAGTTAAGTAGGTGAAACAAAAAATGCCTGTTGCTGACGACATAAAAAATCCTCATTTCTGTAGGCCCAAAGGAGGGATTGCAGAGTTGAATGCAATATAAGAGTTTTGCTGCTTGTTTTTTTCGGCGTGCGTTTACGCACTCATTACACATACAATCCCCCATTCAGAGAAGAAGTTTTTGACCACGCGCTTGCGTGTTTAAAACACTCACGATGACACGTGGAGCAGACAACAGAATTGATGTATGTGAACCAACATCATAAAAGTGTTTGCCGGACAAGCGTCGTCCACGTGTTTCACCTTGAGCGCTGAAGTACCAACCGAGTAAGGCGGTAAGTTTGCTTCCGTCCCGGGAAGGCATTGTATGGTAATACAGAGACACAGCCTGTCATTTCCAGACACGTAGACATTATTTGTGGGCCAGAAGTGTGACTGCCATGAACGCATAGACGTGAATGATTACCTTTTTAGCCGTAAAGGATCTCTAATATTGGTGGGGTTAGCAAAGTGACGAGAACATGTGGCACGATTACCACTATATATTGTCAGCATTTCTTCCTGCAATGTACAACTAATAAAAGGTTAATCTTCTAAAGCCTCTAGGTAAATGTTGGCCTCTGTGGCTTTATGTTGACACTAGACCTTCACTTCTTAAGTACACCGTGTGGCAATTCACTCGCACGGTTATCAGAGAGCAAGGTCCCTTGTGCAGTTCAAACTTAAATACCTTAATGATAAAATGAATGGATCAGGAAAAAGGGGGGGAAATAGCCGAGATACGCAATTGTAATGCTACTGCAGACGTGTTTTATTAAGAACAAATACATGCTCGAAGAACAAAGCATTTTACTAGAAGAAAAATAGAATATCTTTGGTCGATGCTACATTTGAGTGAGAAATGCAAGAAAGTATGTCTGGTGTAGCGGCTTCTGTCTATATATGGGACTTATTTGGTTTACTCTTTTATTTATCTGTATCTTTTGGAAATATTTTGTAAAGTCATTGCAATTTATTCCGAAATGTTCCAAACCAAAACCACGTCGATTGTTTTACATGCCGTACTTCTACTCAAGTGCCACACATCGCTACTTCTGCGACCGTTTAGCGCTCTGCTGGGCGTTTTTGTATGGCGTGACTCTGCGGGTTTGGCATTAAGGCTCACATGTTATGCTCCGGCACAAATAAATAGTGTATGGTAAATCACATGCGCTTAGGCATTAGACCAGAACCTGCATTCTTAAACCTATTCATTGTTCAAACAACAATTGCCATTGGCTGGTAGTCTTTACTGAAAATGTATTAGGACCAACCTTGTGCATAGTTTTTTCTTGAAAACAGATCTCTCGTATTACGATCTTGTAAATATATGAACAGGAAGGGAGACGTGAGGCTTCACTCGGAGCAGCTTATTTGTGATTCCAATACCTCTTTTTCACTTGGCTACAACATTTCTAACAGTTTTATACGCTACAAGTTTTTGTGGACTGTTATTTACCGAGAGCAAAGGTGAGCGACCAAAAACCATGTTGTTTCTACAGATACTCTCCATAACGACAATGATTTGTGCGCCCTACATAACTGCTCGCTCTTTCTACTGCCACTTGCAGACGGCTACCGAATTCCGAAAGGTGCCAATGTCTACATCAACCTGTTCAGCTTACATCAGAACCCGAAGTATTTCAAGGACCCGGAATCGTTCATCCCCGAGAGGTTCCTGACAGAGGAGTTCACCGCACGCCACCCATATTCCTACCTTCCTTTCTCTGGAGGGCCCAAGAACTGCATAGGTTTGTGATACGCATATACAAATAGCGCGAGGCCAACCTGCGCTTCAGCGGTCAAGCAGAATCATTTTATTGCTGCACTAGAGGAGCCAGCAAGCTGCTTTACTTTTTTTCGACGATCATTTGGCGCTATGTATGATACGCTAGTTCAACCTATTCTCTTAGAAAATTGAGGAAAGTGGTTACTTCCTGTTCTACTTAAGGGAAATCAACCGATTTGAATTACTTGTGGAATCGAAAGGAGCGAAGATTATAAGAGATGACCAAAATGAATTGAAGTAGGTTCTGTCTAGTTCGTATTTACATTCAAGTACAGTAAAGCAATCATCTAGCATTTACAGCTAAATGCGCCTGTCTGGAAACATAGCACGAAGTTATGACCTCACGATGTACTGAAGTGACGCTTAATAACACATTACGGCGTTTAAGGGTTTAAGGTGTTACTTACCAGAATGGTTGAAGTTGGCTCTATTCTGCTGTACAAACCTGTTGGAATACAGTTAGCTCTGAACAAGTGTGAAATTCAGTTAATGTAGAAAAAATATTTTATTGTGACAATGAAGTCGCTTTTTACATGGCACATGCACACTATATCCAATGTTTTCGAACGTCCAGGAGGCTTCCGCTACGTAATTCATGTCTGTGACGACCTCCTAAAGCAGGTTTTTTTTACAATAAGTGTTCTAGTTTGAGTTTCGCCTGGGTGAGTTTTATATGAGAGTATACACAATTAAATGAATGTTGCCGCTTGAAGAAGGTCCCCGCTGTTCCTTTGAAGGTGTTGATTGCGTTGGACACAGAACCTTGACAGGTAAATAAATTACGTGTCAAGCAACCTTCTCACAGTAACAACAGCTGCAATAAATACTTGATAGAAGCATATACAGCATAAATAATACCACAGCACTGCAGAAGAAAATCTCAAATACACAAAAGTGTTACCGAACAAAGACGTCGGTAGTCAATGGTCGGCACATTCATTATCTCGATCAATTATCTCATACAGGAGTAATGTGGCGGTCAGTGCAAGAAAATAAGAAAGGACAGGCGTATGTAAGACTGATTTAAACTATTGGTAACAGTAAATACTTTCCTAACAGTGCAGCACTGTTTTACAAAAGTGGTAATGGTTCTCAGAGCATAGATCTCTTATAGTTTGGTCCAAAAATTTCCTTTCAGTTGAATGGTTGTGGTCTTATGCCAGCTCTAAAGCATTACTCATTTTTCTGTATTTTATTCCTGAAAATGCGTTTTATTTTGAACTAAAAGCGCTCTTGAAACACTACAAAGCGTCCACAGAATGCTTCGCATTAAAAGGAAACTCATACCGCATGTACAGAGGAGTACACTGTTAAAGTGAACACCGGAGCGTGTGTCGTCTGCTAGGCTCTACCGCCAGCCCACCGCGGCAACTGGTTTCGTGCAGAAGCAGTCAGCGCAGTGGGCGGTGCTTGTTTGTCGTCTGCTACAGTTTTGGGCTCATCGCGAAGCGCTGCCGTGGTCGCGGAATCTTTAGATAGCGCTTTCCTTTGAGCTAGAATGAAAATGCCTGTAAGGATCTATATTCAGATAGCTATCCCCTGGCCTGTCAGGTGGGCAGTCATCTTTCGTTCTCCTTTTCGTAAGATAAACAATTGCCCACTTCGAAAAAGCTTTCGCTTGATGCCAGTTGAAGGCGCTTGTAGACACTTTGTTCAGCTTATGCACTGCAGCAGACCAAATCCGCGTTAGTGCACGTGAAACACGCCCTCCACAAGAATGACTGATTGATAGTATGCGCGATTCATCATCCCGAAACTACCTATCAATACGTGAGACGCCATAGGGGAGGGTTTCGAAAATTGCGACCACCTGTGGTTCTTTAACGTGCACCCAAATCTAAGCACATAGTCCTACAGCACTTTGGCCTCCATCGGAAATGTAGCCGCCGCACCTAGGATTCGATCCTGTGACCTGCGGGTCATCAGCCGAGTACCTTCGCTGTTAGACCACCACGGCGGGGCCTTGCTCCACACACACACACGCAAGCAAATACTCTTTATAAAGCCATGCTAGGAAAAAGACGACTTTAAAGAAGACATGCTTCTTTAAGCGCCTAAACTATCAGTGAGGTAATATGTTAGATAATCTAATTTCCTTGCAGCTTTCCCGCAACTTTCCATCTGAGCTCACCATGCAGCCTGCAGACAAATTTCAAAGCGCGATGCCTGACTTTGCGACGAGCTGAAGCGAGGCCGCAACTGTAGCACATGACAAACGAGTGCCGCCTTCTGCGCTCACTGCTCCTGGGCCAAACTAGTTTTCGCTGCCAGCCGGCAGTGGTGCCGAGCAGACGGCACATGCTACAGTGTTCCTCTTAACAGGGGACACCTCTGTACATTGCCTATCGTTTACTAGACGCCGCGCATTATCGCATGACGACAAACTTCAACACATCGAGAACTGTTTATAGAAATTTTAGCATCTATTGACGTCAGTGCAGTTGGAAGCCTTGTCTAAGAACTCGCTAATTGTTTCCCTCTACTAACCTCAACCTACAGCTGCGCGAGAAAATGCAAAACGTATTCCGCAGGCAAAACCCTAACAAAATGCCGCTTATCGCAGCAGCTCACAAGAATATCATTCATAGAATATATATGACAACTTTTGGCTAGTTCTAGCAGCTTATTTCTGAAACTTGACTCACTAAAGCTGATCATTCATTCCACTTCATCAGTTATCATTGTCACTGGTGTCGATGATTATATCAGTAACAACGATGTCGACTAATGCCATCAGACATCAGCAGCTGTGAGATGTGAACTAACACCATTGGTTAGTTCACAATCTAGGCATGCTGAACATCTTCATTTTTTCATTTAAGTCACTACCACGATCTCCCGCAACTACTTCATGACTCGAAGGTGGTAATAACTGTTTACGTCTCTTATTCACAAAACATCCTGCACTGCTGTGCGAGCTAACAGTGAAAAGATACACCAAATGATGCATTATCTGAGTGTTACCTAATGCTACATGCATTGCTGATGTCCTTCTCTTTGCAGGTCAGCGATTTGCCCTTTTGGAATCTAAGGTGATCATGGCTAAACTGCTGCTGAAGTTTTCGGTCGAGTCGACTCGCCCGCTCGACCAGCTGCGAGTGAGCTATGAGATCATCGTAAAAGCCCGTGGTGGCCTGCGCGTCTGGTTTCGGAGGCGTCCTCCAATCAGCGATAAGTGGCAGGCGTCAAGGACGTGAAGACTGGACCTTTTTTTTAAGAATTATATGCATTTTGTATGTGACTATTATATGTGCCACGTTACTATTTGTACGTCTTTGCATTATTTTTGTGCCATGTCAAAATATATGCGACACAATTTTTTCCCTATTTTTGCCTGTGCGTGTATTCGAGCTTAAGTAAAATAAATCACCTTTAACGTGAAGAAAACGAACGTGTCCAGTAGCTTTCTTTACTCTGCCTTCCGGAACTTGTTATTACTCATTCATTTGGTTTCATAGCAGCCTACCATGAAGACATATATAGCTCACTCTAAATCATATCTGCAGAAGAATATTTAGAACTAGCATTGGAAATTTGCAATGAAATTTGTGAAATTTTATAGAGTTTAATCATTGTACTAAAACTCAACTTTCTTTCAAAATATCTGTGACATACCTTACTATTATTGGGGCTAAAAAACTAGTGTTCTTAGCTGAGAGCCAACGTTTTCAAGAGGCAGAAACCAGACAACTTTTATCAAAACATTAACTTTATTAAAAGGTACCCTTATGGATATATGCGTTCCGGCTTACATAGCCACTGTGTGTTGGCTCCCTCTGCAGTGGCGGTATGGGCACAACAGTTGTGTTTGATCAAACAATACAGCAATGAACACTCAAAGCTTTTACTCATTCTGTCACCTAATAGGGGCAGCTGGCTGCTGTGCTAACTTCTCAAAGACAAAAAGAAAACACAAAGGGGACTGCACACCACGCTGCGTGTATGTCTTCTTTGTGCCTACTTGTGGCCTTCAATCAAGTTCGCGCTGGAACCAGTTGTTTCTAATGGTCAACCGGAAAGTCCATTTTGCTTCTTTATAGCTTATCTTATAGGTGCGTCGTATTCGAACAAATCTTTTAAAGCGGAAGTCTTAGCTGCCTCATTAAATGAGCAAATTGACATTTCGCTATGGCTGCGTCACAACATGGGATGCAAATACCATCACCAGATGATGCCATTATACAACGTCACCGTGACGTCACAGAACCGGATATATCTTGATGACAACATCACATCGTCCCTTGGCTATAGGTGTATCAATCAGTAAGGCACTGCTAATCAAGGAAAGGTGGAAAATTTTGGCAACACCTCCAATTGCATATGCACTTCAAAAGTAGGTTAGGTGCAGAAAGTGTTAGGAAGGTGGCAGTCGAGGATCAATACAATCATCATCGTTATCAGCCTGACTACGCCAACTGCAGGGCGAAGGCCTCTCCCATGATCCGCCAATCAACTTGGTTTTGTTCTTTCTGCTGCCACGTTCTTCCTAAGAACGTTTTAATTTCATCGGCCCACCTAATTTTCTGTCTCCTCCTCGTGCATTTGCCTTCTCTGGGAATCCAGTCAGTTACCCTAATGACGCGCAGTTATCCTGCCTACGCGCTACGTGCACAGCCCACGTCCATTTCTTGACTTACACTATGACCCTTAACATCTGTTTGTTCGCTAACCAAGTCTGCTTTTTATTGTCTCTGAAGGTTACACCCATCATTTTCATTTCCCTCGCTCACTGCGTCGTCCTCATTTTAAGCAGAACCCCCTTTGTGAGCCTACAGTTTTCTACTCCGTACGCAAGTACCGGCAAGATGCAGCTCTTATATACCTGCTCCTGGGGGTTACTCCTAGATAACAATTCATTATATGCAAATGCTTGCCAAATGTTAACCACCCTATCTTTATTCTTCTAGTTAATTCAGTCTCATCGTTCGCCTCCACGGTCACTACCTGTCCTAAGTAGACATAATCCTTTACAACTTCCTGCGTCTCTCCACCTGTTGCAAAGTGCTGTTATCTGCCGAGACTGTTGCACATAACTTTAGTTCTATGCACAATAATATTCAGGCCTACTCTTCTTTTTTTTCGTGTCCAGTTCTGTAATCTTGCGCTTTAATTATTCGTCCCCTGAGTTTCTCATCAAAGCAATGCCATCAGTAAATCACAGGTTACTAAGATACTGTCCGTTAACACTTATTACTAACTCTTCCCAATCTGGGGTCCTGAAAACCTCCTGTAAACACGAGGTGAATAGCATTCGAGAGATCGTGTCTCCCTACCTTACACTCTTCTTTTTCGGTATTCTGTCGCTTTTTCATAGAGAACTATTGGGGTTGTGAATCTGCTGTAGATTTGTTCCCGTATGTTTATAAGGGTTTGTTGATGCTCTGAATCCACAGTGCCTACATCACTGCTAATGTCTCGATTGAATCAAAAGCCGTCTCGTAATCTATGAAGGCAATGTATAAGGGTTGGCTGTTTTTCGCGGATTCCTATATCACCTCATTGACAGTATGAATATGGTCTATTGTGGAGCAGTCTGTATAAAATCCTGCTTTGTCCTTTCGTTGATTGAATTCTGTTGTCGCCCTAATTCTGTAAGCTATATTTTGTAAATATTGTCAGGACATAAGTGGGAAAAAATAGTAAGCTGATCGGCCTATTTTTTTTCACGTCTTTCACGTTTCCTTCCTTACGAATTAAAATGATGTTGGCGTTCTTCCAAGAATCTGGCACCACTCCCGTTAAAAGACGCTTTGTATATAAGGTGGCAGGTTTTCCCATCTGTGCCATCTTACAGCAGATCCATCCTTACCTTAACCTAACCAGCGGCTTTGCCTCTTTGCATTCCTTATAAGCTTTCATTACTTGCCCTGTCGTTACTGTTAGAATTCGGATTCCTCTGGGCTAATATTGCTTAAAGGGCCACCATCATAAAGGGCCAATCACAACCCCACGTTTAAAACAGAAGGAGTGATTCTCTCCTCTCCTTCATACACACGATGCATCCTCTTCGCCCCTTAGTTCCAAATGCACGTGAACAATATCTGAACTAAGTGCTAAAGCCTATCAGGATGTCGCGCTTCTCGGCTGCACGCTGTTAACGCCGCTTGCGCAGTTGTAAACACAAAAATTGAAGTTTGATCGGTTGATTGTGCACAATATTCATACGAGACAAAAAAAAAACGGATAGGTGGCTGCAAGGCAAAGCAGCGTAAGAGACAAATAACATGTGATATTTTGCGTATATCAAGGAATTCGTATCATGTACGCTGTAGACGTCACAGCATTACGCCGAGAAGGACAAGAAATATCAGGAAAAAATATTGCGCTTTTTTCTATTTTGGGAACCGTGTGAGTGGCCCTCTAAATAAGTAAGCCATTCAAGGCACCATTTCAATCTTCGCAACAGTTGCTCTACCATCGGAACTACCTCGGTGACGGACTCAAATGATTGTTATTCCGTGCCATCTACGTTAAGACACATGCGAGTTTTGAACGCTGAGACACAGTATACACATACTAAAGGATTAAAGACTTGTACTTTCCTCAAACTCTGCCAATGTAGAATGTACCGCTGCGTCCACCCGTGGTGAAACCGCAGGGGGGGGGGGGTCGCACTCTTCCTCACTCCAAAATTTTCACTGTCGCTTCCGTATATATACGGGCACACATGCAAACACACGAAGAAAGATGCACGAAGCATGCCTTGAGCCTGCCTCTCTCCCACCCCTTAAAAAATGTGGGGCTGTGCCCCTGTTGCCCACCGCTACGACTGTTGCGTCGTGCGCAGTGCCGCTAAAATCCCCCTTGCCATTTCCCTCTCCGTAACCACCCCTACTTGCCCTCTGAGCTGCCCCGCCGCGGTGGTCTAGTGGCTAAGGTACTCGGCTGCTGACCCGCAGGTCGCGGGATCGAATCCCGGCTGTGGTGGCTGCATTTCCGTTGGAGGTGGAAATGTATAGGCCCTTGTGCTCAGATTTTGGTGCAGGTTAAGAACCCCAGGTGGTCGAAATTTCCGGAGCCCTCCACTACGGTGTCTCTTACAATCATATGGTGGTTTTGGGACGTGAAACCCCAAATATCAATAATCATCAATTGCCCTCTGAGCCCTTTTAACTACGCCGGCGGTAATTTGTATGCTTTTCATTGCTCGTGCTACCAAAAGATAGATAATTGTCATCAATCGCACGCTATGCAGACTTCACCATCGCCATCTGAATCGGCTAGCAAAGTTCCATCTCATTTCACACCCCCATAGGCGTGCGCAGCGTCCCCGTTCATGGGGGGAGAAGCTATTATTAATCGCAGCACCCCCTCTCTATTAGGCAATGTATGTGGAAGATATTGCGGACTCCCATTAGGTGACTGGAGGGCACCCCGCCCCTTAGTCAATATATAGAGCAGATTTCGCGCCCCCCCCCTTATGTTTTAAAAGGGGGGGGGGGTGTATTGGGCCCCCTAGTGCACACCACTATGCACACCACATAATTATACAGCACAGCGCAATACGATAGCTGCTTATTGACCAAAATATGTGTATTTTCGTCGGACGTGGTCAAACAGTTCTGATGACGTGCAACGTCTCTGACCGGACCACCACCAGTTACAATCAAGAAACAAGTGGTTTACCTGAATTATGTATTTGAACAACAGGTAAAATGCTGACAATGTCCGTCCCTACATATTACACAGACCGGAATCGCGTGATTTTCATCATAACTTGTACGCCCAAAACACTCCGACCACGACTGACTCTCTCCTGTCTTCTACCCTACGGTCTCGAGCACTCCAGTACGTTATGCGCAATACCTCCTTTTTCATGCTTAGCCCCGCCACGCTGGTCTAGTGGCTAACGCACTCGCCTACAAATACGCAGGCAGGTCGCGGGTTCGAATCACAGCGGCGGTGGCTGCACTTTTGGCGAAGGCGAAAATGCTGTAGGCCTGTGTGCTCAGGTTTTGATGCACGTTAAAGAACGAACACCTAGTGGTCAAAATAACCGAAGCTTTCACTACGACGTCTCTAATAATTATATGGTGGTTTTGGGACGTCAATCCACTAGAATCATAATAATTATTATATTCTTTCAACGCCCATGTGAGTGAATTGACGGCAGTTTCCCAAGCTGCTAAGCGTTGAAAAAGTTCGCCATAGAGCGCGATGTCACGCCACTGCTGGTAAGCAGCGACAAATATACCACAAAATTCTCTTTACGCCTTTTAGCGTCGTCTGCCCTTGACCTAGTTAAATGGCTCTGGACTCCTTGATGCAGCCTATGTCGTCAAGTCACCTGCGTTGTTTTCTAGTGCAGTAAGCAACAATCTCGAGACATGAGATTGCGCATAGGAACTGCTAAAGCTTTACTATCCGCTGTGCCGTGGTGTCTT